GGCATTCTGGGGGCATTGTTGCGCCTACATCCCCTCCTTGAGCGATCCGAGAGAGCCGACGCCGTTTTGGCTCGAGCAGGCAGGGCCTCGAGCTTGCTTGCATTCGGCGGCTCGCGGAAGTACGGGGTCGCATGGTTCCGATGCCACGGGCGACGCCCGCGGCGTCAGTGCATGCGATGGCTCTCGAGGACGACCCGCCAGCCACGCTGCCCATGAACTACCCCGACGATGATGACGCCTGGGGTGAGTGGAGCGCGCCGCCGCCACCGGCGACCCCTCAGCCACAGCCGCAGCCAGCGCCTCCGCCTCCGCAGGAACAGCCAGAGCCAGTGCCAGAGCCACAACCAGAGCAAACGCCTCCGCAGAAACAACAACAGCCACCGCAATCACTGCACGGTCAGCCTGACGGTCAGCTTCAGCCAGCGCCACCGTATCCGCAGCCTCCGCCACCACAGCCAGCGCATCCGCGCGGTGAGCAGCAGCCACCGCCACCGCCGCCACCGCCTCCGCAGCATCCGCCACCACCATCACAGCCAGCACATCTGCCGCCGCGCGGTCAGCTGCGGCCAACGCCTCCGCCGCATCCGCCGCCGCAGCAGCTCGTTCAGCTGCAGCCGAAGCCGCAGCCTCAGCAGCATCCGCCAATGCGACCACCGCAGTCAGCGCCAGCGCCGACCTCAGCTTCGCTGCCCAGAGGGCTAGAGGAGGCGCCGTCATCAGCGCCAATGCCAGCGCCCGATCCGCCGCCACCGGTGCCAGTTGCCCCGCTGCGGAAGCGAGCGATTGGCGAAGGCGACGCGGTCATCATCGACGTCGACGGCCCAGCGGCAGCCTCAGCACGCGATGGAGCGAAGACCCACTGTGGTCAGCAGCCGAAGCCAAAGAAGCGTCCAAAAGTATGCAAGGAGGCGCAGGTTCAAGCCGCAGCCCCAGAGGCATCGGGCGCGGCAGCCTCAGCAGATGCAGCATCTGCAACGGGGGTGGCAGCCTCAGCATCTGCAGCAGGGGTGGCAGCCTCAGCAGATGCAATGGTGGTGGACACCTCAGCACATCCAGCAGCAGCGGGTGCAGCAACGGGCCTGGTGGCAAACCGCGCGTTGCCAGTGATGACCAGAATACTCACGGAGGCCGAATCGGCACTTTGGCAGACCGCCTACTCGCAGGGCTACAAGGCTGGCGTCAATGTTGGCTACGAGAACGGGAAGAAGAGGGGCGCTTTCGCTGCTTTCTGGAAGGATAGTTTTTTAACGATCTTGTTCCCATTCTCGTGCTCTCCATCTCTGCTATGTCAGCCGTGTCCTACTCGTCTAATCTGCTCATTCGTTTCTGGAGTCCTTGTGTCATGATCGCCCCCCCCCCCCCAGATACCTTTGGAGCTACTGCCGCTCGTGGCCGCCCTGATGGATATCGGTGAGGATGTCGACGATGATGAGGATATCATTGTTCATCCACCGATATCTTGTCATCATTGCTAGCGTCCGATTTTTAACCTATGCGATGCTGCTCCCTTTCTTCTTTGCCTGGAGGGGGAGGGGGAGGAGGAAGAGGAGGATGAGGAGGAGGAGTAGGAAGATGAGGAGGAGGTGGAGGACGAGGAGGAGGAGGAGGGCCAGGAGGAGGAGGAGGAGGAGGAGGAGGAGCCCCGCAACCCCGCGAGGAGCGGCAGAAGTGGGTGCAGTGGAAAGCCAATGCCCCTGGGTTGCCGCCCATGGGGATCGAGGCCATGGCGGACCAGATCTCCCAGGAGCTCGGCCCGCCGGGCGCCACCGGCGACGCCAGTGGCCAGCAGCCGAAGTGGGCGCAGGAGCTCGGTAGGACGATAGCAACGAGGTGGAGGAAATTAGCAATGAGAAGGGAGGATGATATGGAAGGATGAGCAATGAGGAGGAATGAAAAAGGAAGGAAGGATGAGAACGAAAGGAAGGTTGAGTCAAAGGACGAATCGCACGATAAGGAACGAAGGAGACATTGTTCTTCTGGGCGAGGATGAGTTTTTTTACAAGCGCACAGAAGTATTGAGGCGAAACATGGGGCGCCTATGGGGTTGGTCATAATTGGATCTTCCTGTTTCTTCTGCTTGTCGCTCTTTGCATTCTGCCTTTCTGGGCTGCCTCCGAGAGGACAGCAAGACGAACGAGGGCAACCTGGGCGGAACGGCGGCGGCGGCGTCCTCTTCTGGCAACGCGGCTTGGCAGCTGCCCCAGTCCCAGTATTCCGATTCGGAGGTGGGCGCCATGTGGAAAATTCAGCAGGAGCTGAACGCGTTGAAGAAGCGGGAGCGAGAGTTAGCAGCGCTAGCAGCTGCGTCTTCGGCTTCCAGCAGCGGTCGCGGTGACGCGGCGTCGGCCGCGGGCGTGGAGCCGTTCCTTTAGAGGAACTCTCGTTGTGGCTGGCCTTTTTTTCCAATGGCCCACAGGGCCGCGTTGCTTGCGTCTCGCTTGAAACCGTAGAGGAGAACGAGGAGGAGGGGAAGGGGATGGGATGGGGTGGAGGATGAGAAGGAAGGGCTTTCTGCAGTTTGGGGGAACTTCTGAGGACGGGAAGAAGAGTAAGAGTTCAACCTGGTGAACTTCACCAGCTTGGGGGAACGATCAGTGATTCGGGAAAGCGCCAACTCGTTGCCTGTTGGCCTCGATGCTGCCCTTCTGCTCTTCTCCCTCGGCACAGCGTGAAGCAATCTAGTAGTAGAAGTAGTAGTGGCTCGCGCGTGCCGACGCGCAGCAGAATGTAGACTGCCGCGCCACGGTGAATTGTTGCACAGAGCTGGCAAGGCGAACTTTGATATCGCCACTGCCTCAAACAAGCGTTCTCTAGCTTTGCGTTTCATCTCATTGTGAAGCATCGCTTCTGTTCGCTTCATCCGACGCGTCCGCCAATGCCAGAGGTCAGGGGCCGCGTTATGATTCTACCATTGCCCAGCCCCCTGTCTGGTTGATAAGGGTGCCAGTGCAAAGTTCTTGTTCAATGCGACATTCGTTGCGTAACGCCCGCCTCTTGTCTTCGCCACGCTGTGCGTCATGGCTCGTTGTTGCGCGCGGGAGCGCAATGTGAGATGCGTGCTTGACTTTGCGCGATTGGCTGAAGTGGAGGTGATGGCTGAAGCGAAGGAGAAGGAGGAGAGGTAGGAGGGGGAGGAGGAGGAGTCGGGGGAGGAGGAGGAGGAGGGAGCGCTTGAAGTAGGAGAGGAGGACGGAACTTGGAGCGAGTCGAACGAGAGTGGCGTGAGAGAGAGAGAGAGAGAGAGAGAAAGAGAGAGAGAGAGAGAGAGACTAAAACAGCGAGAGAGAGAGAGAGAGAGAGAGAGCGCGCGAGAGAGAGAGAGAGAGACGGAGAGACGATGCGGGGCTTGGGAGGCTGGCCCCCACAACCTGACGACTCGCAAAGTGTTGGATCTGGTCGTTACCAAGTTGTATGCGATCTCGGGCATGACGGAAGACGCTAGCTTCGCCCAGTTTTGCTTAGACCACGAGAACATTAAGAAAGAGTGCCTCTCTGCCAACACTGTTGAGTCTCTGAGATCGGTGGGGGTTGGGCCGCTTATGTATTTTTATGCAATGTGTTTGCGCATGCGTTTGTCAATGTCCTGCGCGGCTGCTATTGCATGTGCAGGTTTTCTAGCTTCGCACCCCCCTAGCAGTGCAGGGGTCATAACGTTGACCCTTCCGCCGTCGCCGGCGTGCCCCCCTACCTGGGCCGTCTTCTTCTATCGCTCTTTCTCTCTTCTTTTGTCTCGCTCTCTGTCTTATTCATCTTTCATTCAGCCTCTCTCGGTTATGCTTGTGATTGTCATTGTTGCATTCACGCGCTCTTGCATTTGTTGATATTATTATTTTGCCGATGGGGTGGTGTGGTGGTTGGCGGGACATGCGCCATCTGACGTCCAAAGGGGGTTGGGAGGTTACCGCCAAGTGGGGTTTGAAAACGAAGGTGGCGGATAATGCGGTTCTCTCCACGAAGGGCAGTGAGACCAAACAGAAGATCATGGCAGAGTGGGCTGCGGGGCACCAGAACCATTTGAACACCAAGATGAAGGCCGACGCACCCTTGGACGCTGTTTTCGCTGAGCTTGCGGACGAGTTCCCGAAGCCGGTGGCGGGTGGAAACTCACATGGTTGTTTCGAATTGTTACTGCGTGTTCAGTGTTCTATCGTTACTCCTTCCTCCGATCGCACTTGCCTACGTTCCTTGAGTCTCGTTGCGGTCGCATCCGTTGTCACTCCCCCATCGTCATGCCCCCCCCAAATCTCCCTCGGTTTCGTTGCTTTCTTTTGCAATGCGCATGAGCCCAGGCATCCTCGAAGAGCATCGTGGCGTCGAACGGAAATGGCGTCAGCCAGGAGAATAAGTTCGAGCCCGTGCTTCTCTCCGAGCGGTGGCAGAAGAACGTGGAAGCCGAGCAGGCGACAAGCGAAGACAACGGCTCGCGACCCAGAATCGCCCAGTACATCAAGAACCAGCTCCAGGCGGCCCTGCAGAGCAAGATACAAGGACCTGTGCTTCTGAATTGTTGCTATGTTAGTTCATTCCTCTGCTCCCGCTCCTGCATCCCCCCCCCTCCTTCTCATCACTCCTCTCCTCCCCCAGGAGGAGGAGAAGGTGGGCAGGGGGGGGGCTGCAGCGGCAGCAGCAGGATAAATGCAAGGGGGTGAGAGGGGGACAGAGGAGGTGGAGGGCAGACAGGAGGGGGCGGGGCCAGGCCGCCTGCGCGTCCGAACACGCGCCCTGGCACTCCTCGACCTCCACCAGCGCCGGCACCTGCGCCCGCAGGGAGGATCAGGGCGAGAGGGAGGACAATATTGATGTGGACATGGAGGACAAGACCCAGGAGGAGGAGGAAGGATGGCGAGGAAGGATGAGGATGAGGAGAACGAGGAGAATGATGAGGATGATGAGAAGGCGAAGAACGATCCAGAGAGCGAAATCGGAAAGGAATAATGATGTGCCGAGCGTTTTTTCGCCCTTCCCCACCCTCCCCATCCCCAGAAACGTTCACGACGTCGATGGGGGCCATCTTGATTCAAAAATCCAACATGTTCGTCAAGATCGAGAAGACCGACAAGGGTGAGATCAAGAGCCAGAAGTTGGAGAGGCGTCGGATTCCACGGGGGCAGCATTGGGGATCTATCTTATCAATGCCTTGTACTTTTGATTGCAATCATTTCTTGTTCTTAAGCGTTCCGTTTCTTGTGCGTGCCATGTATGTTTGGTGTCATGCTATCGTCGTCGCCGCCCGACGTTGTCAGCGTCCCTTCAGTCAGCCTCGCCAGGTTTCGGCTAGGCCATCGTTCATCTGCACGTGCCGTTTAGTATTGTGTGTTTTCAAGTGATGGTTTGCCGATGGTACGCATTCAACGTACGCCGTCTCTTTCGCATGTATTTGGGAATGAGTTGGCATGGAATGTGTGCAACATGCGAGGCATTGCGTGGACGGCGGAACGTGGCCGACCCTCCCGTTCAACGGGCGCGTCGTCGACGATGCGGTGGCCGCGCACATGAACAAGAGCTTGCTCCTGCCATTGTCGCCGGCGGAGGCTCGCGGAGCAGTGTAGTAGCAGTCGTAGTAGACAGACGCAGTAGCTGTAGTAGCAGTCGTTGCTGATGCACCAGTAGTAGTAGTATCAGCAGTAGTAGTAGTAGTAGTAGTAGTAGTAGTAGTAGTAGTAGTAGTCGTAGTAGTAGTAGTAGTAGTACAGTAGTACAGTAGTAGTAGTAGTAGTAATAATAGTAGTAGTAGTAGTAGTAGTAGTAGTAGAAGTAGTAGTAGTAGTAGTAGTAGTAGTAGTAGTAGTAGTAGGAGTAGGAGTAGGAGTAGGAATAGGAGGATGAGGAGGAGAAGGAGGAGGAGGAGAAGGAGGAGGAGGAGGAGGAGGAGGAAGGAGAGGCGGGGAGGAGGTGACGGGACGCACCATTGGTTCTCTCGAGAAGCCCGAGAGGCAAAATACCGTCATCCTTTCACGAATTGAATGAACTTGTTCTTGCACTGGACTCATTCTTGAATTCTCATGTTCTCGTTGCTCTCTTTATCCCGCTGCCTCCTCTCCGCTCCACTCTGCAAAATTCCGCACTATCAGGGTTCTACCGCTCAGGAGAAGGCCATTTCCGAGATGCTGCCGACGTTCTAGTCTGCGGCTTTGCCATTCCGCCAGCGCGATCGAGTCGATCGATCGGTCGCCGTAGTCGTCGTAGGTTTGATGTCGTGATGTGTCTCTGGAGGGCGCGGCTCCATCCGCGTCTCCATGGATCATTCCACCCGCCGCTTCTCACCGACGACGCTTCCTCTCTCTCTCTCTCTCCCGCCCATTCCTTCTCCTCCTCCCACCATCCTATCATCCTCTCTTCATCTGTCCCTCCAGCCACCTCCCTCCTCCCTCCTCCCACGTCGCTCGTGCTGAGCGGGGCTCTCCGAGTAGGGGGGGCATCGTCGGATCTTGACGGGTCCCAGGTATCGAACGCAGGGCGCAGCAATTGCGGGAGAGGTAGGGTAGGACAGGGTAGGATAGGGTACGGTAGGGCGTGCTTTCGTTGGTAAGGTAGGGCATGACTTAGGATGGTGAGTCTGGTAAGTAAGTAGGCCAGTGTTGGGTTTGGGGCGGGCGGGCAGGTGGATGCGGTTGACGCCAGTGCGGGAGCACGTCGGGGGCATCGTCGATCGCCAATTGTCGCCGTTGCCGCGCCGCCCGCAGGCCGCCGACGACGCGGAGAGCCACGTCAGCGGCCCGAGCGGCTGCGGGGGCCCGCCCTCCAAGAAGCGCAAGAAGAGCAGGAAGCAGGAGGAGGTGGAGGCGCAGAAGGATTATGGGCACGTTTCCCCCACCACGAGTTACAAGCCGCTCCTCCTTCTCCTCCTCCTACTCCTCCTCCACCTCCTCCTCCTCCTCCTCCTCCCCTTCTCATCCACGGACTCCTCTGACCTTCTCATCCTGGTCCTCCTCCTCCTCCTCCTCCGACTCCTCCTCCTCCTCCTCCTCGCCTTCACATCCTACTCCTCCCTCTTCTCCCCCCCCCTCCCTCTCCCCCCTCTAGTGCCCATCAAAAGGAGACGCACGAGATCATCTACACCGTGATCGAGGTCAACGCTGGCATCGGGAACGACTGCAAGACGTAAGGGGGGGGGGGGGGCGAGTATGGGGGTTGTTGCAATGATAATGGTGCCTTCCTTCTCATTGCCTCTGCCTTCTGCTGGTCCGATTTGCATGCCTGATTCCACCCGCGCACTGAGCTTTTACTGCGTTGCTCACATGGTCCTTACCTCCACCACTTCATACTTCCATATCTGACATATCTGATCTAGTGGCTTGCTCCATTTTTCACTGCCCGTTGCTACGGTCATTTATTTGCTCAGTTACGTGCTAGCTTCATTGCTCGTAGCCCCTTCCCTTCTACTACTCCATTCGCTCACTCACTCTCCAATCCGTTGCGCTGCTCAATGCACTCGGGCGGGAGGTACCGTTACCAGGTGCCCAGCTTGACGGAGGTCGAGGAGCACAAGTCGGTGTTCCACGCGGACCAGCCCGACTTGTGGCGCCGCAGGACGTGGTTCGACGATTGGAAGTTCGCGAAGGCGAAGAAGGAGAGGCCCGCCCGCCCGCGCGCCTCCTTCACTTCTGATCCTCTCCTCGTTCTCACTCACCACCCTCCACCCCATAGGACTTGGAGCGAGGGGGAGGGGGAGGAGCAAGTCGGAGGAGGGGGAACTGAGTTGGAAAGTAAGGGAGGCCTGACAGCTGGAGGGGGCGAAGGGCGAAGGACCCAGGACGGGAAGAAGGTGGAGGAGGGACGAGGAGGCCCAGGCGGGATGAAGGCGGCACGGGTGACGGCCCGACGGCGGCGTCAACGACGTCGACGCCGGCGACGGTTGTCCTAGCTCATCCTTGGCTCATCTTCCTCGCGTCCTTACCCCCCCTCCTTCTTCATCCTCCTTTTCTTGCTCCGCCTCATCCTCCTGCTCGTTCTCCCTATCCTCCACCTTAGCTCCACCTTCTCCTCCTCCACCTTCACATTCTTGTTCTTATCCTTCTCCACGTATTCCTCCTCTTGACTTCCTCCTCTTCTCCTCCCTGTCCGCCTCCTCTTGACTTCATCCTATCCTCCGCCTCCTCCTCTTCCTCCTCCTCCCCCTCCTCCTCCTTGTCCTTCTCCTCCTCCTCCTCCTTGTCCTTCTCCTCCTCCCCCTCTTCTTCTCCTCCTCTCCCCCTCCCCCCCCACCTTCTCCTACTCCTGCCTCCTCTTGCCCCTCCTCCTCCTATCTTCTAACCGTCCACAGGACCCCTATCCACCTCCTGCTCCGATTCGTTCCTCCTCCTCCATTTCCGACTCCATGTCCTCCTCTCGTTCTCCGAGTCGTCATCGTTCTCATGCTGCCCACGCGCCGCCTCCTGCCCCTCCTCCGTGCCCCCCTTCTTCCTCCTCCGTCTCTTCCTCCTGCGTCGCGCCCCGCCCCCGCCAGGTCGGCGGCGGCGTCGTTCATTCACAAGTGAATGCCGCCAAGCGGCCACGGCGCGCGCGGACTCGCGGACTCCGCAAGGGAAGCGAGATGGAATGAGAGAGGAGAGAGGGAGAGAGAGCGTGAGAGAGAGAGAGAGAGAGAAAAAGCGCAGGAGTAGAAGAGGGACGCGTAGAAGCAGATGAGGGGAGGTGCGGGAGGATGACATGGGAAAATATATTAGAGAGAGAGAGAGAGAGAGAGAGAGAGCGAGAGATACGACGCGGTGGAGAGAGAAGGAGAGGAGGAGGTGGACATCAGGAAGATGATGAGGATGAAAATCAATAGGAGGAGGATCAGGTGGAGAGGGGATGGAACGAGGGGCGAAACAATTCAGGAGCTGTGATCAGTGAGGAATGGATGAGGGTCGCAACACATGACATTCCTCCTCCTCTTCCTCTGTGCGCGTGCCGAGGCCTTCGAAGAAGGCGTTAGTTTACCTTTCGCCCAAATTTTGTCGCTGTGGGCGTGTGCGAGAGTCTCCCCCGCATCCATCCTGTTTGCACGCTCACCCATCTGTCTTGCCTTGACGTTACTCCTTCGTCCTCCTCTTCTTCATCAGTGTGATCGCCAGTCCCCACCTAATCCTTATTATTTTGACGCCACCGGTGCATCTCTCTAGTCTGCCATGCTGACTCACTGTGCAACGTTGCGTTCCCCTCCCCCACTGCAAGTCCCCCTCCCCCTCCCCCTTGCCATCGTCGTCGTCGTCATTGTCCTCCCTCACCCTTCCTCCTCTGAATGTTCCTACTCATGCGTTGTCTTCTCTTGCTCTGATGCCTTTGACAGTATGCCGCTTGTATTGCGTCAGTGAATGTATCTGTGGCGCGCGTCGCCTGCTTGAAAAATGGTTCTGCTTCGAGCCTGCCTTGCAATGGGGAAAGGAAGGGCAGAGAGGGAATAGAGAGGTGGAGGGGCAGGGGCGCGCCTAAGGAAAACTGGGCTGAAGGGCGCAAGCCGATTGCACCAGCACATGGGAGAGAAGATAAAACAGAGTATGGGTGTGCAGCAACGCAGAGTAACTATGTAACTGAATTGTTTTCGATTATATTCTCAGATACGAGATCATTTTTTTTTTGGGTTTCAAGGGCGTCAGAATCAAGTAAAACCATGTGTTCGAGGTGGTTGTTGGAAGGACTTTTGATCATGCCGAACCATCTCAGTATGACCTACCCAGTTCTAGTGTATACAGATATACAATACACACAAACACCTACACACATATGTACAGATAGTTGTATGCACATGTGCATACATGCATAGAGCGAAATGCATATGTGTATGTATGAATGCGTGCATACATGTGTATATACATATAGATGTACTCATATCTATATATGTATACATGTCTAGCTTCTTTTTGAGGGTCTCAAGGCTGGCAGGTGGCGTGGGAGTCCCATTGCGCCACCCTGCCTCGCCGCGGCGATACTACAACGGCACCTGGGCCAACCAGGTGTCGAACGAGCGATTATGTTCCTTGCAGCCACGCTGCAGGTTGCGGGTGGTGCCCATATCCACTGCATTTTGGATTTTCAGGGAATGGCGCCAAAAGGCCGAGTCGTAGCGGATATGAGTAGAATCGAGATTCTGGGGGCACGATGTTTATCCGTGTCCACTGCGCCTCGGGTGTATGGGAAAGGGAGTCCGAAGCTCTGAGACCCAGTGGATATGAAGTTTGCCCGCGCACCACGCCCATCCCGCGCCACTAGTGGGTGGCAGAGCAGTGCCGCTGGCTCACGCCTGGCCCCCCAGGACGCCGCTCAGGGCTGTGGTGCCCGCGACGCTGCCCGCCCCGCTCGAGGCCGACGGAGTCGTGCTGCTGCTGCTGCTGCTGCTGCTGCTGCTGCTGCTGCTGTCAGCCCGCCGTGCTGCTCGGATGGCGTGGGCCGCGTGCGGCTGTCGCGGGGCCACGCGAGTCCGCACGAGACGCCCTGATGGCCCCCTGGAAGGACTCGGCGCTGCCATTATGGGCAGGACCGGCTCGGCGGCGCCCGCGCCGTTTAAGGGCGGCGCTGGGCGCAGCTGCCCCGTGCGCGGTCTCGAGCGCCTGGCGCCGCGCAGGCCACGGCAGGGGGAAGGCAGGGCTCTGCAGGGCCCCAGCTCCCTCGTGCTCCCCGCTCTCGCCCCAGCGAGCAGCACCGGCGTCGAGACGTGATGCCCGCGCGCCTGGGCGGCGTGCTGCTGCTCTCCGCCGAGGTGCAGGTCGCCATGCCAACCGCACCCACCTCGCACCCGCTCTCGCCTCCCCCTCTTCGCTGAAGTCGGGCGTGTCCCCCTACAGGGGGATCTCCGACGAAAAATCAAAAAATACTGAAACATACGCCCAAATGGCAAAAAAAAATGCAGAAAAAAATCCCCATATTATTTTTGACTATTTTTGGATATTTCTCCTGTGGAGGGACGGGCCCGACTCAACCCTTCGCGCGGGAGGAGCATGTTCGACGCAGGCTGCGCTCGGGCGGGCGAGGGCGGGGAGCGCCCGGGACGATCGTGGCCCCGTGCGGGGGCCCCCGGGGCTGGCCGAGGTCGGCGCGGTGCTCTACGAGAGGCGACCGCAGCACCCCCGACGCTGCGGACAGCGACGGAGCTGTCGGCCGGGGCTCCTCCGCTTGAGCCTTGGGAGGATGCAGCTGCTCCCCGCGGACGTTTTGGCTCGAGCTCGGGCTCAGATTGTGCCTCGTCAATTCGCAAGCGCTGGGCGGCCGCGATGGCCCTCAAGCGCATCCAGAAGGAGCTCACGGACCTGGGCAATGATCCGCCGGCGAGTTGTTCGGCTGGACCTGTCGGAGACGACATGTTCAACTGGCAGGCCACGATCATGGGTCCTCCGGACTCGGCGTACACGGGCGGCGTGTTCTTCTTGAACATAACCTTCCCATCCGATTATCGATTGGCTCTCGGCCCACTCCGCCACAGCGCCTGGGTGGTGGACCAGACCCCTCTTGGAGGTCTCTTGGGCTCTATTGGGGCGTCTACTGGGGGCCACTTTGAGGCATTTTGGGAGCCTCTTGGGAGCCGTTCTGTGGGTGTCCTGAGGGTCTGCTGGCCTCTGAGGGATTCTTCGGGTCGGGGGGGTCCTAGCAGTCTCGGGTGCCATCTTGGGAACGAGAGCTCGGGGAGGGGGCCCTTCGAGCTACCCCTGTTGGGCCCATCTTGGCGCTCTCCCTGGGGCTCTTGGAGCGGTCTCGGAGGAGTTTTGGGGCCGTCCTACGCTCCTGAGGCCAAACGTGCCAAATGCACACCACGACTTACGTGTCCAGGGCGATGTGTACTTCTTGGGCCAGCCCGCAGGGCATCCAAGTGGGCCCCCGAAGGGCCAGGACGGCTCCAAGATGACTCTCTGGGACCATCCTGGGGCAATCCATCTCCTCTTCCTCCTCCACCTCCTCATCCTCTGCCTCCTCCTCCTCCTCGTCCTCCTCGCCCGTTCTCCTCCTCCTCGTCCTCCTCCTCGTCCTCCTCCTCCTCCGCCTCCTCATCCTCCTCGTCCTCCTCCTCTTCCTCTTCCTCCTCCTCCTCCTCCTCCTCCTCCTCGTCCTCCTCCGCTTCTTTCTCCTCCTCATCGCTGGGCGTTTGGACTCCTCACAGCGCGTCCAGCGCCTCGGGAAAAAGTCACGGCCCGAGCCCCGAGAGCGCCGATGAGCGCCAGAAATTCCTGGGTCTCGGCTTCTGAAGGGTAACTCACAACATGCAGTGTCGAAGACGTTCAGGGGCGCAGTGCCTGCGCCTGTGCACGGTGGCACGGTGGCGGATCCGTTCAAGCCTCCGAAGGTCCATTTCACGACGAAGATCTACCACTGCAACGTCAACTCGAACGGGGCCATTTGCCTCGACATCCTGAAGGACCAGTGGAGCCCGGCGCTAACCATATCGAAAGTCTTGCTCTCCATCTCGTCGCTCCTCACGGACCCGAACCCGAACGATCCTCTGGTGCCAGAGATCGCCCAGCTGTACCTGAAGGACCGCGCTCTTTCTCTTCCTCCTCAACAGAAGGCTTCTTCCTCCACGCAGAAGCCCCGCCTCCGCACAGATCCTCCTCCTGATCCTCTTGAGAATCCGCACAGGAATCCTCCTTCTCCTCCTCCTCCCCCTCCTCCGCGCCGTCTCCTCCGCACACGTCTTCCCCCTCCTCGGAGTTCCCCTCCTCCACACGATACTCTCTCCTCCTCCTCCTCCTCCTCCTCCTCCTCCTCCTCCTCCTCCTCCTCCTCCTCCTCCTCCTCCTCCTCCTCCTCCTCCTCCTCCTCCTCCTCCTCCTCTCTCCTCCTCCTCCTCCTCCTCCTCCTCCTCCTCCTCCTCCCCCTCCTCCTCCTTCTCCACCTCCATGAAGGACCGCGCGAAGCACGACCAGACGGCCCGCGAGTGGGTGCAGAAGTACGGCACCTGAGCGCGACCGCAGGCCGCACTGCGGCGCAGCGGCCCGCGCTCCTCGCGAGCGAGGTGCAGATCGCTCCGATGGCCGCCAGAGGGACTTCCGGCCGAAGGTGCCGCCCGGCGGCCCCCCCCCCCCTCGAAGAGAAAAAAAAACAGCAGAGCCATACAGTCGGGGCGCTCAAGAAGGAACCCTTTTCGTTTGGGAGGGGCTCAGTGTTCCTCAGTTGTTTCACAGTTCGCCTTTGGTTTCTCTTAAGTTTTCGATGGGGGAGTCAAAATTTAACTTTGGGAAAACGGGCCTCGTTCCTAATTCTGGGTTCCTGAGGTCGACGCCCCAAGTGTAAACCTTAGGAGCTCCGAGCTGATTTCTTGGAACGGCGCTGGGCCCCCCCTGGCAGCGACTCGGGCGCCTCCCTTGGCGCGCTCTTCGCGAGCCAGGGAGGGAGGGAGGGCCCGGTGCTGGTCCAGGAGATCGGCGCGGACCTCCAACAGTTTGTCTT